GAGCCGCTAAGAAGCATCTGACTTACTGAAGAGTGGGGAAAGGGTTAGGGTTAGGGTTAGGGTTAAGCAACTGGAGATGCACTTGGAGAGGGGGTTGGGGCAGTTAGCCAATAACAATTTCAAACCAGGAAAGAGGGGTTTTTCTTTCTCTCTTCTTTGTTTGAGATCAAAGCCGTTTCTCCCAGGTACTGAGGGAGATGGGAGACACTCTCTCTCCAAGAACGGACTTCTTGAAACGTGTGAGTAGGGAAACGTTTAGCTAGTCCATCAGGGTTTATCGTTTTCCTTGTTTGGGGATTTGGAAATCATGTCTGAGCTGGCTAATTGTGTTTCTCTTTTGTAACTAAGGATTCCAGCCCAGGGACTTTCCCTGAGTCTATGGCTCTTCATGGCTATCTAATACCTAGTCGTTTACTATGTTTGTAACAGTAGTTTTGTTTTGAAGATAAAAGGGTTTTCCTTTGTTTTGATTAACCGGTATTGGTTGACTGTTGTGTCCTTAAGTTTACGTGCTTAGTTACCTGAGCAGAGACCACTGTTCTCTGCAATTCCCTCGGTTTGTTTTCCCAACTCCAAGCAAAACAGAGGTTGTGGGCAATGGGGGGAGCTTTGCCTTAGGAAGGGGATTCCCAAGTGAGCTCTTCCCTGGAAAGGGGTTTATTTTGTTTATTTTAACTCACTTGGGTGGTGGCAGCGGTTCCTTTTGGGTCTCAGGGAAACTGAGGCTAGACATGTTTGTCTCTGGGAAGTTACAGAGGCAGGATCTTTCAGAGTTTATTCTGTTAGCCGCCCCCATCACTATACTCGACGTGTCCGGTTGGGGAATTGAGCCGTGACAAGGACACAAACCGGTTAATGTGCCTACTGGTGGATTGAAGTGTTTGCAAGAAGCCTATGGCCTTTGACCCACAGGTGGGGGGATTCTGTCTGGAGAATGCTGAGGAAGCTGTGAGCCAAGAGCAGCATTTCCCACAAGGGCTAGATGCAGGATGGGAACGGTGAACATTCCCTGCAGAGCGGGAGAACCAATTTTCTTCTTCTCCCAGTGCCAACGCATGAAACCTCTCGCTCTCTGTCAGCAGGGAGTTTACCCTCTCCCCACCTTTGCTCCCCAGGAATCCGAGCCTGGGTGAGATGCACCTCAGAGATTAAGTTTGGGAACTGGAACGTTGTCCTAGCCATTTCTTTTCCAGGCAGGACACTCAGTCTCCGACTCCGTTGGGATCCGATCAAACGGCGAATGCAGCCTGAATCATTGGACCTGGTAGATGCTGGTGCATTGGAGTTTGAATCGCTCCCTGGTTTTGACTTGCTGCATTTAGACTCACTTGCGGGAGAGGAGCAGAAGCCTATTGTACGCCTCAGCCAATCAGAAATAAGCTCCTCTTGAAAACAAAAGAATTGGATTTGGGTAGCTGAGCTGTCTGTAGCCTGAGGGTTTATCATATTTTCCCAATATGTAGTTGCTAACCCATGTGGTTGCTGCCAGACGTTCGGTTGGGATAACTCAGTCCTCTTTAAAGTCACCGGAACTCCATTGACTCCGTACACAATGGGCCCGATGCTAGGTGGGCCATAAATATTACAGATCTCTGAAGCCGGGAAGACACGTCCAGCTGGCTCAGAAGTTGCCCGGTCTCAAGTGGAATACGGCTCAGGCCTGAGCAGTCACCAGCATCACTGTGTTGTAATCGGCTATAAAACAGGCCTCCGCCCCTATCTGCTCCTGTCCGGCTGCACTTTTCAGCATCGGTTCCGTAGATCTTGGGCTCCTGCGCCAGTGCGAAGGTCTTCTGCACTAGCTCTCCGGGTTGGAACACTTTGTCTCCCAGAGCAATTTGAATGGGTGAGCACCGAGGGAAACCATCCTGGGTCACCAGACCCTGCCCTCCAGAACCGGTGCAAGTGCTCAGGCAGGAACGCAACCCTCATCCTCTCCGCTGCCAACAGGATGACGGGGCGCCCCCACGCTCACCAGCAGCGCAGTGAGGTTGGGGGACATGTAACTGGTCCTCAGCGGGGGGCAGACTAGAACTCGACAGGCCCAGCAGAACAGCTGGAATGGTAACATGCCTGGTCCCCGGCCTCCGTTTGCCACAAGCTGGGAATGGGCAATGGGAGAGATCATGTGAGGATTCCCTGTTCTGCTCCCTCCCTCTGGGGCACCTGGCATTGGCCGCTGTCAGCAGACAGGACACTGGGTTGGATGGGCCTTTGGTCTGACCGTGTCTGGCCGCTCTTGTGCTCTTCTGGATGGTCATTCTATAGAGTAGCAAAGGGGAAAAGCCAATTAGCTGCTTGGGGCTGGTTCTATTTCGAAAGACATCTTGGGTCTAAACCTGCCATGAGATGTATGCGTGAAACTAAGAGCAGAGCTGGGGCACTCGCAGAATCCTAGAACCCAGGAGCCATCGAGTCCAGCCCCCTGCCCAAAGCAGGACCAACCCACCCAATCATCCCAGCCAGGGCTGTGTCAAGCCGGGACTTAAACCCCTCTAGGGATGGAGACTCCACCCCCTCCCTAGGGAACCCAGCCCAGCGCTTCCCACCCGCCTGGGGAAATCATTTTTCCTAATCTCCAACCTAGACCTCCCCCACCGCAACTTGAGCCCATTGCTCCTTGTTCTGCCACCTGCCCCACTGAGACCAGCCTCTCTCCAGCCTCTTTGGACCCCCCTGCAGGGAGTTGCAGGCTGGTCTCAAATCCCCCCTCGCCCTTAGCCTCTCCTCGTAGGTCATGTGCTCCAGCCCCCGAATCATTTTGGTTGCCCCCCGCTGGGTCCTCTCCAATGCCCCCATGTCCTTTCTGTAGTGGGGGGCCCAGAACTGGACACAATACTCCAGATGTGGCCTCCCCAGAGCCTAATAAAGGGGAATAATCACTTCTCTGGATCTGCTGGCAAAGCTCTTCCTAATGCCCCCTAATATGCCATTAGCCCTCTTGGCTACAAGGGCTCCCTGTTGACTCATCTCCAGCTTCTCACCCACTGTAATCCTCAGGTCCTTTTCTGCTGAACTGCTACTTAGCCTGTCAGTCCCCAGCCTGTACCAATGCCTGGGATTCTTCCGTCCCAAGGGCAGGACTCAGCACTTGTCCTTATTGAACCGCATCAGATTTCTTGTGGCCCAATCCTCCAGTTTGTCCAGATCACTCTGGACCCTATCTCTGCCCCCCAGTGTATCTACCTCTCCCCCTAACTTAGTGTCATCCGCAAACTTGCTGCGGATGCAATCCATCCCCTCATGCACGTCATTCATAAAGATGTTGAACATGCATGCATCTCTGTGCTATTGAAGGAGAACAGTGAGGGTTAGGAGAGTTGGATTTTTCTCCAGGATCTTGTGGTTTTATCAGTGAAATGCTGACACTTAGAATATCAGAAACCTAAACTCAAGAAATCCAGCATGGCTGAGGAGACTGCAGAATGGGAGCGTAATTATTTAAACATCTTTCCAAGCATGCCAGTTTACTGTTTGCTCCTTAACTCGGTGAGTTACATTTTATATCAGATTGCTTTTCCCCAAGGTAATGAATGCAATCATAGCTCAGCGTGAACTGCCACACGGTTACTTATTTTCAGTATAGTATCATAACTATAATTTTCAGTCCACTTCGGTTTTTCTTTTTGCTGGCTTTGGCTTATTGAAATCACAAACTCTAGGAGAAATAGTGCCTGTCAAGTGCTGATTTTATCATCAGCTAATGACCAATGCCAAGGAGAGAGACAAAAGCTTACAGAGGGGTTTAAGCTCTTCCTTTGTGCCATCCCTGCCCTTAACTGGTAGGACCGGTTGGGTCACTGTCTAGGTGACATGGGGCCCTCAAGGCACCCCCCTCTGGTCAGTGCTTACAGACAGAGGCCAATAGGGGTCATCCACAGCCCAAGCATAGCAACCAGCAACGTACCCACACTACATCACACTCCCATTGGCTGCGGTTTGCCGATGGGAGCTGTGGGAGGTGGCTTACCCGAGCGAGCCCACAGCCCACTTCAAAAGCCGCTGTCCTAGGCCACGCTCCTGTACATAAGGGACGAGTAGATCCGGATAAGTAGCTGTTATGTAAAGGTTTTGAGTTCCAAGGGTGAGGCATGAGCGTGGAGAAGTTTAAAACTGGCGTGGGGACTCGGATGCTACTGCAGGGCCTTCAGTAAAAAAACGACTAGCTGCTCGATTTCAGTGCGGTGCAGTTAGTGAAAAAGAACTGAGCACCATTATGCAAATCCTACCCCACCAGCCAATCAAAGGGGAGACAATTGCATATGCAAGAAATAAGCCCATTTGTTGGTCAGTTTGGTGCAGCAAACTGTTCTCCGATTGGCTGAGGCTGTGCCAGTTGGGCACAAAGGTGCTCACAGGAGGGTTTGGTCCTACTCGAGGTACCTTTGGCCTTGACGGGAAGTCAGACATTTCGGGCCTCATGCACGTTCCTCTGACAGCAGCCTGTGGCTGTCAGACACCCAGGCCTCTGGGGCGCTGGCTGCAGGGGAAGCTACAGTGGTTGAAAGCCCTTGTGTAGCTCCCCTGGCTTCGGGCCTGGCCCTTTGAAATCAGCGAGGGCGTTCCCACTGAGTCCGGTGGGCTGGAACGGAAAGGAAGAGTTAGTATTTGTGTTCCCATGGCGCACAAAGCTCTGTGCCTCTGCCTGCCTCCCCGCTTTGGTGTTTTCCCTGCTGCACCGGTACGGGGGGGAGCGACCCGATGGCTGTCTCAGGCCTGCACTCCAAATTGTGAATCCGATTCGTGCCCCATAGCCATGCGCACCCCACTCCTGTCAGCCTCCATCTGAGCCCTGGAAACTGTCCCCACTGGGGATTGACTGGCAGAGTAGCCCGTGAGCCAGCTCCAGCAGAGGTGACATCTTGTAAGGGGTGTGTTTGGAGAGCGTCGAGAGGAGGGGTCTGGCTACAGAATTTCCTTGTCAGAGTTGCACAGTCAGGTCACTTCAGCTTTGCTTCATGAAATAAATAATCCAGAGCTAATTCTGCTTCTCTCCCCAGGTATTTAGTCTTCCTGCAGATCAAGAGAGATCTCTACCATGGCCGCCTTCTCTGCAAGACTTCCGACGCTGCATTGTTAGCCGCCTATATTCTTCAAGGTAATGCTTGGTGACAAGATAAATTAGCTTTTCGTGCCAAGTACTGATTGCATTATTTCACTTACAACAGATCACTGCCCCCGGAATACAAATATCATTTAGCCAGTGCGGGGCTCGTACGTCAAGGCTGTGCCTGTGTCAGTCCCGCGGTGGTCTGCGGTCGAGTGAGAATTGATAGCGGGAGCTAAGCTGCACTAGCAGCCACTGCGCTGCCACTGATTTCCTGGCAGCGATCCCACCCGGACGCAGGTCAGGGGTGTCTAAGAAAATGGCCCTTGGATTCACTTTATGCGGCTAATATTGTGCCCTGCTTCCATCTGAGCATTGCAAAGCACAGTCTGCCTGCCAGGCAGGGTTTATCCCCCACTTAGCTGATGGAAACCTGGGGCAGGGGGAGATGAGGCGACCTGCATCAAGCGACAGTGCACAAAAGGAGGTCTAGGACTCCTCAGCCACACTTCGCCGTCCGTGGGGTCCTGGGGCTCCGGAGCTGAAGTGACACTCTCCGACGGGGAGACGTACCGATTTCAGAGAAACGTGGGGCAGTCACGGGATGGAAAACACTCTTGCACGTTGGGACATCCCAGGGAAGTTTGGCTACATCCTCAGACGTACCAGACCGTGGTGTCCAAACCACGTCCGTGCTGCGGCTGTGCTCTGGGGACTGATAGACGCAATAGTACGTGCCAACGGGGGTCACTTTGGTGCTCTTATTACCCTCTGCTTTGGAATTGCAGCATTAAGTGGGTTGGTCTGATCCTAATGTGCCCCCCCACGGTGTAACTATCTCCTTGTCTCCCCTCAGCCATCCCAGGACGCGGCAGCCAGTGAGTGTTGCCAGTTCTGGCTCGGCGGGGCACTGCCTAGTTGTCAGTAAAGACAGGGGAGGATGCTCGGCCGTGTTTAGATTTTCATTTTTCCATGTTGCAGAAGGTCTGTGGGGAGGGGTGTCTGGGGTGCGGCTCTGGCAAGAGCTGGCTGAGCTTTGGCAGAAGCCAGCCGGGAGCTGCTGAAAGAGCTGGCAGTGACCGGGTTGTGATAGGACGGGACTCGCAAGAGATTTTAAGTTACTGTAACTCTTTTGCCAGGTAGCCCCGGAAGCAGCCAGGGCCAGGTTCAATATCTAGGGGTCTCTTTTCATTCATCTCACACAGAACCGGCTCGAGCCCCCACCCAGTAGCCTGGGAAATTCACATACCCCTGGGCGCCTCTGAGAGGCAATGCTTCCCCGCTCGCATGCACAGAGTCTGAGCGTGGAAAATAAACTTTTAATGGAAGAGAGAGAGGTCACATGGCATTAGCTTGGGAAAATGCTACAACCAGAGTTCATAACCCCCACAAGTAACCATCCCAGCTCAAATGCATTGAGCAATGTCCTCTGCCTCTCAGGCTCACTATTCCGACAATGTAAGGGTCCCATTCACCTCCCCAAACGTTCTCCGTACTCCACTTCAAACGCCCCACTTACAGCTCTGTCCAGTCAGTGCGGACCCCGACACATCACCCTGAGGACTCCACTCATTGAGCCTGAGGCCAGGCCACCTTTGTGATGCTCCTGTGGTCTGCTTGCTCCTGCCAGTCCCCCCACTGGCCGCCCGCCGCTGCTCCTACCAACCGCCCGCTGGTCGCAATGGGTCTGGCTCCAGGCCAAACCCGTGACTTCAGCTCTTAGTGATTTCAACGCTTAGCTACCACCTAGGCTGGCCAAAAGATTCCAGCTTCCACTGGAATAACAGAGAGACTCCTTATGGAGTCTGCTTTAGGTCTCGCCTTAGTTTCAACCAGTCTTACAGCTCACACCTGGCAGGCATGAAGCAGGCTGGCTCAAGCCCCTTCCCCCCTCCCTCCAACTCCTCCACTCACATCTGGAAGAGGGAGGCTTGTTCCCCTGAGACCCTGTACAATGATGGTGTCTCTCCTGCAAGCACTGGTGTCATATTTTACAGTTCCTACATTTAGGGGTAGCATGGTTTGTGACCCCACAACTGCCAAATTAATTACAATACACAACATTACATTCCAGCAATTCACCCCCCATCAGGCCTGGCTGAGTTGGATTTACATAACCACACCACAGACTCCTTCCCCCTCCCCGGCATGAGCTGTATTTACATATCAACAGTTAATTATCTAAACAATTGGAGTGAGCATATCCACACCCAGGGCTGCTCTCTCCTTTCAGCTGGCTGCATAGCAAGCAGTAGTTCAGCCCTTGCTTACATTACTTTCACGCTGCCCTTGAAAGTGCCCTGTCAACCCCTTCTCTTGGAATATTCGGAGGAGGAGCCGATGCCTTACAAAAACATTTGCTTTAGTCAAACCCAAGTGTCCGTCTCAAGACAGGAATAGCTGGATGAAACTCTGTGGCCTGTGCATTACCGGAGGTCCTGAAGGCGGAATCCCTCCTGGCCGTAATGTATGTTACTCTAGAGAAGTGGACTCAGTTACTGAAAGCTGAGAAGGACGTTTGGGTTTCCCCCTGGTCTGAACGAAGACAGTCAGAACTCCCGAGTAAAAGCGATTAGCTGTAAGAGGTGCTTCTCTTTGCAAAACCGCAGAGAAAGGGGGCATTCCCGAGGCAAGACCTGTGCTATGGAGCTGTAAGAAAAATGAAATCCTGTTCTTAGCCCAAGCACAAAGCAGCTAAGGCCGCACTGTCACCATCTCCTCCTGGTCTCTCAAACGTGGGCGCGCCAGACAAGTAACCCTGGCTCGTCCTAAATAGCTGTAAGAGGTGCTTCTCTTTGCAAAACCGCAGAGAAAGGGGGCATTCCCGAGGCAAGACCTGTGCTATGGAGCTGTAAGAAAAATGAAATCCTGTTCTTAGCCCAAGCACAAAGCAGCTAAGGCCGCACTGTCACCATCTCCTCCTGGTCTCTCAAACGTGGGCGCGCCAGACAAGTAACCCTGGCTCGTCCTAAAGA